GAAAACGATGCAGGGGATGTTTGGTAAAACATACTGCAAACAAATACAGCCTGTCAGTGCGCCAAACCTAGGCAAAAACCCGCCGAACCTAGAAGGGGAAAAACATCGCCTTGTGTTTGTGTTTGTTTGCGTGTTTGTGGTCGTGATTGTACATTTGCATGCGCATGCACACGTGCATGCGCATGCGCGCGCCTGTTGCCCGGGCCATGTAAGCAAGTTAAATCCAAGGAATGTGCGTTGGGACGCGGCAGCCAAAGATCAGCAGTGCTCCTGAGGCCAAGTTCGAGCGAGCGCAGGCAGACGCTGCATCCCATGCGCCAGAGCACAAGGCCGGACATTGCCCAAAGTGTTACCCCTTTTTGGTTGTCAGCTGTGGCCTTGCCAACGTGGCCCACCAACAGGAAAGTGATGTCCGAACAGCGATTTGGAGAGTTTGCCTCTCAAGTGACGCATTGCATGCTGCCTCGCAAACCACAGCGCTGCCTGGCTAAATGGGCTATGCGCAGCCCTGTTGGCTCACCAGCCCAAAGCATGTTGCTTCTTGAAGGCTTGACATTTCAGAGATCCTAAAGGCCATCATGTACCACGGTCGTGTTCAAAGACCGTTAAAGCATGCCATGTGTATTGTCAGGAGACGATTAGTAAACCCCCCCCCCCGATTAAAGGTTCCCCCTTTTCCCCCCCAGATTCTCACCAATACTAAAGTAAAGTGCCAACAAGGTTTCCCCAAAAAATCCCTACCCAATTATTTTTGGGCCCTCCCCAAAACCCCCCCTGATTAAAGGTATCCCTCTGCAGCCCCCAAGCCAACAAAAACCTGCCAGACAAGGTGCTTTCCTTCTTGCTTCGTATTTGCTTTGTCTGTGCTTAAACTCACCAATACTATTTCACTATTGAACCCCTCAAGTTTTTTCCAAAAATGTGCTTCCCCCGAAATGCATTTTTGTTGATCAAAATTTGCTTAAAATGACAAGGTGTTCAAGCTCACAAAGAAGACCCCCCTTGGAGGCTAATCAGGGCCCTTTTGGGCTCAAAACAAAAAATGTGCTGTTGCCTTTTAAAGTCCTACTGCCCCGAAGGGACCAGAAGTAAGAGGACGAGGACCGAAGGGGCTCCAGAGTAATCAGGGGGGTCCTCCCAAAAATCTCAATTTTTGGGACTTGTCCAACCTTGTCGACCTTGAAGGGGGGGGGGGGGGAGGGGGGGGTTCACTAATCAGTTGTCACCGTTATTTGTCCTGGATGTAGGACTGGCAAATGCCACCGTGCTCATACCCAATCGCTGGAATCGCTGAGGTGAAAGTCAAGGGGCGATATCAAGATGTCGCAGACGCCGAGCAGAAGATGGATGCTTGGCTGCGGTGAAATTTTAGCGCTTCTACCTGAAAGCCGATCGCCTGTGCGAGATACATGTTTCCATGCCTGCAGCACCGTAGCCCAATCCATGCATTGGCCATATAGCTCAGGCGGGCTGTGCCACGTTTCACCTCCAGAAACGTTGGGTTCCCTCTAGGCTCGTGGCTCATCGCTCGGCACGGTCAGGAGTTGCCCAAGGGCCGGAAGCGCGTGCGGCGGCCCAAGGGCGCGATTGTGTTGCCCCCCGCTGGGCGGCAAGTGCCGGAGGCCAGATTCGATCATGGTGTGAAGCGGGTCGAAACCCAGGTGCATCAGTGGTAGGACAGTAGGCAGGGAAGTGGGGCGTCCAATGATTTGGTACCAGGATGGTGCTTGGGTTGGATGTCCTTTTCTCCCCCTTCACTTAAGCACATGTCAGCTCGCACCAGTCAATTCAAGAAGCGCGCGAGAGGTTGTGAAGAAGGAGCCCCGAGAGAATCTGCTGCGGCACTTCAAGCGACTCGGAAACATTCCTAGCCTGGGGTCATCCGAGTTATGCATGACTAGGTCCCCCAGTAGTGCCCTGTTGGCCCCTTTTTTGGTTGGGAGCGTTCCCCTGCTAAAATAGAATACAGAAAAAAGGGTACCCGTATTCCAACCTCTCTACTGGAGGACCTGGCTCGCGAAGAGAGTTGAGGATGGCATGGGATAGCTTGAGATCATGTACTTTTGTCATAGGGTAACACCAAGGGTTGGACACCTTGGCCCTTGGGCTCATCTTTGAAACGGCTACGAGGGTCTTCACAGGAGTTCTTTGGTGTGTCTTGGAGCCGGAAGTTCCGTGAGCACCGCAGCCCCCGTGCCAAGGAAGAAACCCTCTGAGTGACCAGCGTTGGAAGCAGGCCTTTGCTGTGAGCGCGCCAAAGTTTGGCCGGACAATGGCTCCGGCGCGCGCATTGGTTTTCACAAAGGATGCTGGACTTGATTCCGTTGAGTCCACTGCTTGCCCAAACAAGATTCATTGGCCAGATAAGCACGAGATGCGGCTCGGCTGGAGTTTGAGTGCAGCTGAAGCTTGCACATAGCTCTTCAGTGCTGCTGCTGAAGCCAGCTGAGCACATCAAGAGCACCATGCGTTTTGACGATGCGCAAATGGGAGCAAGATC